TCCCTACTGCATCAGTCAGGTTCTACCTATCTTACAGGTAGGTATATAGATGCAGTTATCTTGATTTGCTTCCAAAGTCTGATATGTCTGAGCTTATCAGAAACCTTTTCAAGTAATGCATTCACTGGGCTTTTGTAAAACATGAATTTGCAAACACAGACTACATGCGTTAGCATTGTTAACATGCTTTATACCTAAGGGGATGAACTTGTGATCAAACGTCACTATGGCGTACCAGGTTGTTGCTTGTCTAGCGGCGCATGGTGGTGATCTGCACATATGCTGCAGCCTAGCTGAATTGTTCCTCTAATCATACAGTTGTGGGCTATCATACCGTAAGGCTCCTGCATTTGACTGTTCACTGTTATATCATTACAGAGCAGAATATATTCATTGTTCAGCCTCCTACTATTTTAAAAGTCACAAAACCGAAGTTGTACCTTGCCCCTGTGAACAAGATTTTGGTGATCGGCTGTTGTCACCAGTCAGTCTTGCACCAAAGTGTCTAGTGGTCTGTTTAGAATCTAACACTTCAGCCTCAGTGCTACGTTGAGGAAGAAATGTTAGCCACAAGAGTCAGGAAACTCGAGATGCCATGCACTTGTGGTTTTTTTTGTTGTTGTTGTTTTGGGGTTTTTTTTAATATTACAACTTAAGATCTAGCATCTGAAGTGCCTCTACTGTTAAAATATTTTAAAGATTACTAAGGTTGTAGGAGTTCTATCTTTGCTCAGGTCAGCTATACAGGTAGCATAGACATTCAGTGCAGTAGCACTACTAAATGAGTAATAACTCATAGTTTTATTACTCACAGTTTTGTAGTTTTCAGCCCATCGTCATTTCCATGCTTTTTGAGAGAAACTATTGCAAACACCCCTTCGAGGAAAACTCTGTGCACCGGGTTTAAATTAACTTAATGATGAAGCAAAATGTTCACCATCAAATTTCTAAACTTTTATTATACTTCTATTACTTTTTTACTCTGGGTTTTAAGTAAAGTTTATGTGGACTTTTTTCCCCTCCAAAATCCAATGTTTTGTCCGTCTTAGGAAATTCTGTTCACAACTCACAAGTTCTATTGAAATGCCTCAGCATTATAAAGGTTCTGGTATTGCTGTCTACTGTTCTGCTATTAGTGGGGTCTATTAGAATTTCTGGTGCTTTACTGTGTTGTGTTATCAGTGCGAGATGGAGGCTTTGTTACTTGGGTAAATGAAAAATAAAAAAGGAAATTTTTCAAGTTAATTAATTTGATTCACCATTGCCTTTACTTTCATGTATAAGTTTGTTGGGTTTTTTTTGAAGGCTGTTATTCATACAACTACTTGGTATGTTTAATTTTCCACCCTCCTGCAACTGAATGTTTTCTAATGCAAGCTAGCTGTGTGCTCATCTAAATGATCTTCAAGTGTTTATGGACTTGTTAAATACATATGTAAACAAACTAAAAGCTATAGATACTTCAGTTGTCCTGCAGTGGGTGGAAGGAGAAACAAGGTCTGGAAAGTGCCAAATTGCAGCAATTTTTCCTCAATTATTAAACAAATTAATTTAAAAGCTTTATGTTCCTCTTACCCAATTGTACTCTTCTGGATCCTTAAACAGGGTGATATTACTGCTTTGTCATTTTGTGTTTGTGTTAGCAGTGATACCAATCTGATATTCTTAACTCCTGTCTTTTTAGGCCTTTTAATGCCTCAGAACGTAAAGCAAGCTCCTATGCTGTTGTGGACTGTGATCAAGCAAGAAAGGAAGTTAGTGTCCGCACTGGAGGAGTGACAGATAAGACATCAAGAAAGACTTACACATTTGATATGGTAAATACTTGTCAAGTTGGGGACTACTAGAAACAAGCTAGCACACGTCTCTAATGTGGTCTCATTACTGTACTGCATGATGCTATATGTTACTGTAGGATAAATGGGAGGTGTTGTCTTTGCGTCACCAGGTTTTTGGAGCTCAAGCAAAGCAGATTGATGTTTACCGGAGTGTTGTGTGTCCCATTTTGGATGAAGTTATTATGGGCTACAACTGTACAGTGTTTGCGTAAGTAAGCCAATAATTATTATTGGGAGATTTTATTTGAATTTTAGTTTCTTGCTTACATTTTAATTTTTGTTCTCACAGTTACGGCCAAACTGGTACTGGTAAGACCTTCACAATGGAAGGGGAGCGGTCACCCAATGAGGAATATACTTGGGAAGAGGTATATTTTCACTCCTGAGACTTATCTGTACCATAGCTCAAAGTTAGAAATTGTAGAAGGCTAAATAAGACCTAAAGTTGATGCCCTTCAAATCCTGAAGCTGACTTTCCTTAAATGTTTGTAAATTAACAAATGGTCACATTCATTTATACGAAAATCAAAAACTTTACATCTTTAATGCATGCATACAAGTCTTGGCAATCTTTATATGGAAGACAATCTTTGTACAAGGTATTGGTTCTTGCTTATATCAAATCAGAGAATGTAACTGAAATTCTACTCCTCACCCCCAATTTTTTCAGTACGTTTATACATTAAATACTTCGCTTTAATTTATAGGATCCACTAGCAGGTATAATACCCCGTACATTGCATCAAATATTTGAAAAACTCACAGAGAATGGTACCGAATTTTCAGTGAAAGTCTCTCTTTTGGAAATCTATAATGAGGAGCTTTTTGATCTTCTGAATCCTACTCCTGATGTTGGAGAAAGACTGCAGATGTTTGATGACCCTCGAAACAAGGTTAGAGCTGTCTTCCAAGATTTATTATCTTAAGGCTTTCAGGATTGTTGAGAGATGCATAATAAGCATGCGTTATTTTCTGACAGAGGGGTGTAATTATTAAAGGCTTGGAAGAAATAACTGTACACAACAAAAATGAAGTCTACCAAATCCTGGAAAGAGGTGCAGCAAAAAGAACGACTGCAGCTACTTACATGAATGCATATTCCAGGTACAAATTTTCCCCATTTCAGAAACTTTGTTTTGTTCTTGTTTTATTGAGCAGGATCTTACTGAAGAAATAAAAGATGCTGAAGCTAGTGCAAACCTGACATGATCTTGAGATTGTGTATCACAGTTCAGATTGCCAAATGTGGCTTAGAAAGCCGTAGTTAGAACTTCTTCCTTACCACATCCTGTGGGGTGATTTTAATAGGTGCGTGAACAGGCATTATAAAATCTGAATGCTTCTCATCTTAAAAATGGGTAGGCAGTTTCTCTCTGCATTATTTTTTTACATAAGCTTCCCCTCTTGTTTAGAGTTTACATGCTTTGTTATGAATGTGTCCCTTGTTAATATGCAGTGTTTAGTTGGAACAGTAGCCCTGCCATTCCACCTAACTCTACCTGAGATAGAAGTAGCAGAATGTTCTTAATCTGGCATCTAGAATATTGACATTTAATTAAAACTCAAAGTTAAGAAGTTAACTTTTAAAGCTTTCTATGCCTGTGGAAACGGAAGACAGAGGTCTGGCAGATATGTAACTGAAATACATGGTACGTACTAGCATGAGATAAATATTCTCTGCAGTAGATATTGTATATCTTCAAAAAGAAGGTTGTAGTCCTTTCAAATTTGGAAGATATTTAGCCGATATACTTGTACTAGAGAGGTGGATTGACTTTGTTCTAGCTGTTATAAGTGGCTGAGGATTTTTTTTCCAATCCCGTTTACTGAATAAAAACTTGGTGTAGGTCTCAAGTATCCTTTCCACTCCTCACCAGCAGTAGAAAATGGCATGTTAGGATTTGTTACTGAAGTTGGAATTTCAAAATACTGCTAAGATTTGGGTTTTTACAAGTCAACACAAGGGCTGTTCTTCAAACCCCAGCTTCTGAAAACTTGCAAACTGGATTGTGGAAGTTGGGAATAAGGTTGAGGGTTTTTTTATTATGGCAATGCAGGCTACTTCATATGATTGCAGCTCGTAGTCAGAATCTAGTAGGAATAAGCTCAAGCTAAAATAATCTGAAGCTGTACTATTGTTTCAAATAAAAACTGAATTGAACTTCGAAATTTTTAATATTGAGTTCAGCTACTTGCTGATTTTCTTAGCCTGAATAAAGAAAACTAAATTTCTTAATCTCACATTCTGTAAAACTGTTCTTAGTGTATTGACAAAATCTATAAGCTAATTTTCTTGACATGTCTGTGAGTTGAGAACACAAACGTAAACGAAACCAAAGTGTTTCTCTTGGTTTTGCTTGAAATAAGAAAAAAGTTACCAGGATTGAATGTGGCAAACGTCATCCAGTTGCTTCATCACTGGTTTGAAGTACCCTTTTCATATGTATACGCACGAAAATATACTTGGTAGAATAACTTTGTGTCTTGAAAATGCTTAAGTCTCAATTAATGGGCCAAATGTATTCCCTAAAAAGAACACAGATACCTAACTTGTACCAGTGTCATATAGCAAGCAGATCATTTGGCTTTAATGGGATGTCTGTTTGAATTCTGTTATAGCCGTTCCCACTCTGTGTTTTCGATTACCATCCATATGAAAGAAACGACAGTAGATGGAGAAGAACTTGTTAAAATTGGGAAGTTAAACTTGGTAAGTATTTGAACTAAATGTCATTGATGATATTGTTAAAGTAATGAACTAGAATAATCTGACCACTTTCTCTTGAGAATCTAAGATTGGGTTTTTCCCAATAAGGGAAAAAATCATTGTTTTTCATAAAGTGATATGAACTATATTTGTCACTGAGAAATGCCTGTCCCATTTGTCACCCTAATGTCTCCTGAACAACTTGTAAGTTTGTGTGTTGTGTTCTGCAACACTATGGGGCAAGCATTCTTCAGGGTGATTTGAGAAGCACATCCTTCCTCTTGTCTTTCAGGTTGATCTTGCAGGAAGTGAAAACATCGGTCGATCTGGGGCTGTGGACAAAAGAGCTCGTGAAGCTGGAAATATCAACCAGTCTCTCCTGACACTGGGAAGAGTTATTACTGCTCTAGTAGAAAGAGCCCCACATATTCCATATAGGGAATCAAAACTCACAAGAATCCTTCAAGACTCTCTTGGAGGACGAACAAAAACATCAATAATTGCCACAGTTTCTCCTGCATCTATAAATCTTGAGGTAAAGTTAAGTCTGAAAATCTATTCCTAAAATAGTGATTTTTGCTAATGATACAAAAATGAGTTAACTCCTCAGCTTGACCTAGTGTTACATCTATTTGTCACAGGAAACATTGAGTACACTGGAATATGCCCACAGAGCAAAGAACATAATGAACAAGCCTGAAGTTAATCAGAAGCTAACAAAAAAAGCTCTTATTAAGGTAAGCTAGACATATATCTTAACAAATTAAGTTACAGGTTTGATTCTGTTAATAGTTTTTGCTATGCAGGAATTGCAAAGTTGTGGAGAAGCTATAACTAGTAGCAGTGCTTTTCTGAGGTGATTTTAATCACTGAACTGATGCTTTCAAACTAAGCTGCTTTACTGGTACAGCACTAGTCACTTTGCAGATACTGAAATTGTTGCTAAGACTAAAGCTGGATAGAGAGGCTATTGCTACTAGCTATGACTTTGTGTATGGATTACCTGTTTACAAGTTAGTGGAGAGCCACTAAATGATACTGCATATTTTTTCTGGACTTACTGTATTAGCAGCTTCATTCCCTAGAAAGTGCCTGAATTAAAGTGAATTTGTCAGTTAAGTATAAGAGCCAATAGCAAGTAGCTGACCACCACTAAAAAAGCTGCAATTCCCATTCTAAGCTGTTATATGATTTAAATGGGAGGTTTCAATGCTCTACATATATCCGATGATAATGAATTTAAATGGTGCTATGCTGAACTTATTTGGAACAGAGGTGCTCTGTCTCTGTGCTTATGCAAAACTTCCATAGAGCACTATCTTTGCAAAATATCTGTTAAGCTAAATCTTGAAAGCAAAGTAGAAATTTTCAGGCTTACGAGTGATTGTTTCTGTATGCAGGAATATACTGAAGAGATTGAACGTCTGAAGCGAGACCTTGCTGCTGCGCGAGAGAAAAATGGAGTCTATATTTCACTTGAAAATTATGAGTATGTCTTCAAAATGTCTATAAAATGACTAACAACAAATCTCAGATACTGGTACCTATCCTTATATAGAAATGCTTTCAGATCTATTTTCACGCCAGAAATTTTAAGATAGGAGAATTTAACTGACTGGTCAACTAGTTCTTTAGAAATTAATTATTACACAGATAGAAGCCTAAAGAGTAGGTTTACACTGAGGGTTTTATTTATATGTGGAACTTACCATAAGCATAACCAGGATGCAGATTTATACTATGCAGCCTTTCTTTCAGTGGAAGCTCATATAGCAGAGCAAACTTGATATAGTTTCCTTTGTAAGAAGGCTAGTTACAAGGCTAGAACGGAAAGGTGTCTTAAATCCTTTCTGCATTAAGTGAACATTACCCGCTTTTCATGCATTCATTAGCAATACTTATTTTTTGAAGTTAAATATGTAGTATAAAAACCAGTAGCTAATCTTGAAATCGGGTCTTACATGACTAATTTGTTTGCTTTAATCCTTGTTTGAGAGCCCTTAATGGAAAGCTGACAGTTCAGGAAGAACAAATTGCAGAGTATATTGACAAAATCAGCGTCATGGAGGAAGAAGTGAAAAGAGTAAGTGACGTTTCTCAACTGTGGCTTAAATCTGCCAAAAAAGAAAGAAATCTTTGGGAAGGAGGAAAAAAGTTTGAGCAAAGAACAGTCTGAAGACTTTTTGTTCTTAAAGTTCCCTAATTAGTCAAGAGTAGAAGCTATGTATTTCCTTGAAGTTAGGAAGTTAAAATATCGTATATGAAGTCGCAGGATGCAATATTTATTTTTTAAAGCTGTTTTAATGTCTTCCACTTTACCTTTAACTTGCTTAGCTGGATTTTCAGCAAAAATCTGCTTGTAAAATGGTATTGTCTCAGTTGACAGGTATCTGCTTAGGAGGAAAGAATGAGGGGAGAGAGGAGAAGGTGATGAGCTCCCATTAACAAAGTAGAAAATGAAAGCTTTCTCTTTAAAAGAAATACATCTGTTAATTTGCTGGAATATGTAACTACTTTGTGTAATCAGCTTTACTGCCTCTCTTTACTGTTAGAGTGGTGAGGTACTGGAACCGATTGCCCAGAGAGGTTGTGGATGCCCCATCCCTGGAAGTGTTTAAGACCAGGTTGGATGTGGCTTTGGGCAATGTGGTCAAGTGGAGGCTGTCCCTGCCCATGGCAGGGGGGTTGGAACTAGATGATCTTTGAGGTCCCTTCCAACCCTAACCATTTTATGATGATTCTTTGTTCTATCTGCTTAAGTTTGTTCAGTGAGATTTTTTTTTTTCCTTGTGCTGTAACAATTGCTTGGCCTTGTGGTTTGAGTGGGGTAGCAAGGGATTACTACAGTGAAAATAGTATTGATTTGTGGTATTTTCAGTGAATACAGAGACTATCCGAATCTATAGTCTAGGTTTAAGACCTCTGAGCCTTACAGCTGAAACTACATTGGTAGATGACACCTTACCTTCTGTTATTGTTGGCATAATTTGAGAGATGTGAAGCAGGACTGTTGAACTTATAAAAAACAGTGTTGCCCTATTGATGTTTGTCTTCTACTTTAGATCACTGAACTGTTCACAGTTAGTAAAAATGAACTTGAGCAGTGTAAAACAGATCTGCAAATCAAGGAGAAAGAACTGGAAGAAACACAAAAAGATCTGCAAGAAACCAAGGTTCATCTGGCTGAAGAAGAATATGTGGTTTCAGTTCTGGAAAACACTGAACAAAAACTTCATGGCACGGCTAGCAAGGTTGTCACGGTTCTTACACCTAACTTAACCTAACAGTAGCTTCCCATGTTTAGGAGTTTCATGGGTTGTTCTAGGAAGTCATTGTTGCTAAAGCATGATGCGAGTGTGAATTTAAGATGGAAAACTAGCATTAGCTCTCTCCATAAATTATATTATGATGAAAAGCTACTTAAGATTGCAGGACTTTCTCTGTGGTAATATTGACAGTTGACTGCTAAACATGCTGGTTGGTCTGGAGCTACCTTTTCTTCAGGCCAATTTGTCATGAGAATTCCAGTGCTTTGCAGTATCTGTTGTCATGATTTGTTCTGCAGAATAAGTAGTTTACTAGAACTTATGACTGGCCCTACAAAAGAGTTTTTATATAACTCAGGTAGGAAAAATAGCAAAAAGCTTTGCAGAGGTGTGTATAGTAATTTACACTCACTGAGTGATAATGGAAACTGTTGCCCTGTCACCCCTATATTTTAGGGTATGGTTTTGATGTGTTTGTAGATTGGTCATGATTATTGAAA